AAGAGCACACACAGCCCTGATGGGGATAACATGAGCCCCATGACATGGTGAGACACACTTTCCTCTGGACCTGTTCGGTTTACTCATTCAGTTCAGAAAAGCGAAGAAAATGAACTATTAGTCAACCATTACATGTCCTTAAAAACATTTTCCCCCATAGGATAATCAGTCTATGAATTGCAGGATTTCTCACCTATATGCTGCGAAGCACACGTGGAAAGGAAATGAGGTGCATGTATCCAGGTGTGGGTACCTTAAATGCTGCATATTTGAGGACTGCTGAGATTAATCTACAGTTAGACCTTTTAAAGCCATTTCATTTCAGGAAATAGATTTATAAGTCTCTTACTTAAGGGAAATGTCTGAGTGTCGAAATAGACATCATATGATTTGGCTGGCCATACCAAGATATGGACTTTTTAGCCTAACAGGTCTGCTTACAAAAATATAAATCCAGCTGACTTTACATTATAGTGAACTCTCTTCTTCACAGCCCTGTACCTCTTCAGTGATTTGTGGTGGCTGTGTCTTCCAGATACTGCTGTATGCTGAGTAGCCAGAAAGGAAATTAGGTTATAAAACAGCCTGCTGAATGTAGTCAGCTCTGTTCATGGAGGGATCACAAAGTAAAATATACACAAGATGAAACCAATGGGAAATTACAGTTGGAAAGAGACTAAGTAAAAACTAAGACTAGAATTAGAAGTTGCAGATTAGACATCAAAAGGCCTGCGTAAATTCTTGGGCCAGTTTCGTTGCTAATTTACTGGTTTGAGGGGGAAGTCATTAACCTGGAATGCTCTTATGCCACATAGGTACGTTGATATGTACATTCAAACATTTATTTAGTGGCTACTAAACATCTGAGGCGTTGCTAGGTTCTAGAGATAAGACCCTGTCCTGCCCTAAAGACATCGAACAGAGGAGCTAAAAGTCCAGTTGGCATCTCTCAATATTTCCTCTACTGTGCAACTCCCAAAGGTGGGTGCCAGAGTCAGCTATGAAGGTTCGTTACGGGAATCAGTCTTGGTGGTTCAGTCCATGGTGGGAAATGTGGAAAAGTCCCTCAAGGAAATGTCAACAGGCCTTCTACCCCCTCACCCCTGACACCGACATCCTTTGAAACTTTGATAACTGCTAGTCTAGAAGGATCTTACAACCTCAAAGGGCAGTTCTATGGGCAAAATAATATACTACAGGAAGAATGAAGATGTAGTGAAGAAAAAATGAAGACCTAACAGTACAACGTTACCGAATCATTTACATGATCTCTGTGTACAGACGTGGCCAAAGAATTTCAGCAGCTGTTCCTAAAGTCAAGGTCTAATATATATATATATATATATGGCGGCCATGGCTCACGGGCCCAGCCACTCCGCGGCATGTGGGATCTTCCCAGACTGGGGCACAAATCCGTGTCCCCTGCATCGGCAGGCAGACTCTCAACCACTGTGCCACCAGGGAAACCTGAGGTCTAATATTTTGATGCCACTTTACGATTTATAAAATCTGCAAAGACATTTTGCTTTCATGTAATTTTTCATAGCAACAGGTAAGGCAATACTACCATTTCCATTTATATATAAAGAAACTGACGCCCAAGTAAGTTAAATAACTTGCCATAATCTTACACCTAGTGAGTGGCAGAGCTGGAAATTAAACCATGTCTTCTGACCCTAAAGCCAGTCCACTTTCCACCACTAGGGAGAACCCAACTTAAAATATATATATGTGTATGTGTGCATGTGCGTGTGCACATAGGTTTATTCTCTTTCTTAAGACAGAAAGGTCCTGACAAACCTTCAAGGCAAATAAGCAATTCAAATTTAAAAGTAAAACAATAGGCTTCCACTGTAAGGTACAGTAATACGGCTCTAAACCGACATTATTGACAAAAAAGGTATTCTGGATGAGACATCTAAGTGTTTTTATATTAAAGAAGAAGAAATAAGCACATATCTACACCCCATTAGACAGGACACAGAGAACATAATATACACTTAAAACAAATGATGTGCAGTCTCCCTATGTAGTCACCACTACACTATCAGACCAAGCATTGGAGTGGGGTGCTCTAGGGCATAAAAGCCTGAAGGCAACAAGCTTGAAGCTCAGACTGCTGTGATTTTCCCCCTGTTCTCTCTCTACTGGTCATTTCCAGTTCGCCCTGATGTTGTTAGTTCCTTTCGATTTTCAAGGACTCCCCTACCTGCAGCTGCTTAGAAGCCTCTGTATACGTAATCCGACGAGGAGCTTAAGGTTAAAACCAGAAAACCACCTTAGTAAATATTCAAATACAGAAACACACATACATGTTTGTATATGTGTGTGTATGTACACAGTGACACACACGCAGAGACACACACTAAGGGTACCACACTGTCTTCTCAATGTTTACATCACTGCCCTCATTATTACCGAGCAGGCATAAACAATGACATATAGAGCAGGATTTTCATGAACTTAAGAAATATGGAAAATGGAAAGAATAGATTATGAGATTTAGATTTACGAGGCCTTAGGTTGGGTCTAGGTTTGGAGTCATAAGACTTTAATATGGGTCTAAGTTTGGCCTTATGATTCCAAACAGATTAACTGGGTCTGATCCCAAATTTCTTCATCTGTAAAAGGGGAATAAAAATAACATCCATATACCATAATTTTGTGAAATTAGTGCCTCTAATTACATTAAATATTTTTAAAATAATTTCTTATTAAATCAAAAAGTTCTGATACAGAGATAGTCCTATTTCTTTCACACATAAACACATGATAAAACAGTAAGCAAATACAAATTACAAAACAAAACCAAGTCATTACTCTCATGAAGTTTATATTTAAAATTTATAGCCTTGTTTCACACAGGTGGGTGCTAAAATTCTAATTCCCAAATAAATAGGAAATAAGCTACATTAATAAAAGTCTTAAAAGGCACTTGTCAAGGTTCATCATCCATTACTGATCAGCTTTTCAATGAGAGAAAAAGACGTACAGACATTTAGGCTCTTCCATGTTTATATGTATCTCAGTTGCAAAAACAATTCTTTCCTTAGCTACTTCCAGAGAAACTACTTAAAACAACAAAAATATCTAGAAAACCGTTTTTTTGCAGAGAAGGGCAGATTTTATAAAGAGCCATAACATGGGTTCTGATGTGAATGCTGACACATCATGGTAGGGCAACACAGAGGCACCCTCTCTAAATGTCCTTCTCTCACTGCTTTATTTTTACTTATCACCTTTGTTCACCAATTAGTGAGCCTAGGAGGGGAGCCCTTATGTTGGAAGGTATAAAGCAGCATTAGAAGATGCCAGAGGTATATCTTACCTACTTATCTTCTACTGAGTCAATCATAGAGTTAAGGAAAGAAAGAAGAGGGTGGCGGGGAAGACAATCCTAAAAAATTAAATTGATTTCAGTACTATACATACTTGTTTCCCCCATTTTCTGGAAATCAGCCTTCTGGTAACAGGACCCACCTTTTTCTCCGGGAAATGCTCATTCCCACAGTTGGTCTAGGTTGTTCAGGTTGGCCGACTCCAGCCAGGACCAGCCTATCAGATCACTGCTCCCCCCAGCCACCGTGATTGGTCTGGAGGGGGCCAACGTGAGTCAAGTTCAGTCTATGGAGATTCAACTGGGGGCTTTTATAACAAACCCTGGGAACAGAAAACCTCTTTTCTTCTCAGGAGAGGAACCGCATGAGAACAGAGCCAGAACAAAGTCAAGTGATGGAGAGAATGAGATTGAGTGCGAATGACCTGGCTTAAGACCATGGCTTGCCCAAAGCCATGCCCACATGAGGACTTTCCAGTTATGTGGGGCAATGAATTTCCATTGGTGCTGAAGCCAGTTTGTGTGGAATTTTCTGTCACCTGTAACCAAGAGCTCATACCCCGAGAAAGAAATATGGAACTCCTATTACCCATTCAATGCTGGGTTTGTGGACTACTAAATAATTAATAGTGTAAATAATGTAAAATCATGTACTATCAATTAAATAATGCAGAATCAACCTCAGAAGCACAGAAATAACTACTTGGTCAGCTTTTTTTAATCCCAGAACTAAGGACATTTCCTTGTGGTCCTCAGCAAAACAAACATTCAAGTCATTTATGCTTAAGTCTCTGAAACACCAATTCATCTCTCAGAAAAATGTCCTAAGAAATACACCTGCAGGAATCTTAATGCTGAACTCCTTAGTGAGAATAAGTGTCAATTACACAACACTTCTCCTGATAGCAAAAAATTCTACACTTTGACCAGTCATAGTAGTCAACATTAATAAAACCACCAGGCCTAAGCCTGATGTTAATCAATTGCTTGGAACTGAAGCTGGAGAAAGGCAGAAACAAACAAAAAGACCATTTCTCCTTAGTAAGTACAATTACTTGGACAGAAGCAAAAGCTAGACTACATAAACTTAAAGAATCTCAGTCCAATTTTTCATTTAATGTACTGGTTTGCAAACTTTCAGTAGGACTCAAATGGGGACCTGGAATCTCAAGCAGCTGTTAAATGACATTATTCTGTAAGGAACACAACTTAAATTACACACACGATCCTGATATCAGTGTTTTAACTTGCCACCAACACATATATTTATACAGAAACATAGACAAGGCAGACGTGCTGTAAAAAAAAAATGGTCTTTCTGACCATGCAGATTAAATTTATGGTGACATAGAATGATTTTGATAAGTCTAAGTGAAAAAAAACTAAGACAAACCAAAAACCAAAACAACCAGTCTTTCTGACTGGTTGCTCTTAATCCACAATTTAGGATTTTGGCCATTAAATATTGCTCAGTGGAGAATCTCCAAGTGGTTTTTAGACAAGGCATTATTAGTATTTATCACTGACAGATTACATCCAAAACTAAGGACAGATTACATCTAAAACTAAGAACATTTTTGAATTATTTCCCAATAATGCTATCGAGTTAACCTTGTAAGTAAACTACACACCAGGAAAGAAAATGTGTAAAAGGAACACCCACATGAACATTTACCTTCCACTGCTCTTTTGAAGAACACTTTGCAGCTGCCACAGGTCACTACACCATAGTGACATCCTGAAGCCTCATCCCCACACACCAAACATATTTTGGAAGGTCTTGAGGATCCAGTGGAAACACTTCGTAAAGTAGAGCTGGGGAAAGAAATCAAGATTTAAATAACTACAATGTAGTGGCACATTTGACATGCTGTACAGCTTAGCTCAATATCTGTCAATCATCTTGGTTCCATCAATGAATTCAATATGGTCCCATTCCGAGTGACTTAGGAAATGAAGGCAAAATCCTATGAGGGGAGGAATGTATCAAGAATTCTCTATAGCAAAGCCTCTTCTCAGTACTAAGAAGTCATAAATAATCCCATATAAACTTTTCTCTTCCTTTTCCTGTTGTTGAGAACGTTTACCAAAAAATATTATTTGCATTCTAGGTGAGCAGAGAGGAGAGAAATCGTGAGCTGAGTCATCACGGAACTATTTTTGGCATCAAAGGGCTATTACAATACTTCTCAACTCTCTTCACTCGGACTCAGATTATATCTCAATTTATGCCAGATAAAAAACTCTCCCCTCTCCCAAACAATCCACAAATTACAATTAAAATAATTCTTGTCTCTTTTGCCAGCAATTTTACTCCTCCAAGCTCCTGCATTTGCTCCCATGTTACCTTACCTAGGTATGTTCAAATTGCTTCATTTTGCTTACTAATTTAAAGGGGCACAATCAATACTAAAAACAAACCATATATGGTAACTATCTCAGGTACCTTTCATGGTAAAAACCTGAAGGGTGCAGTTTTTAGGGACAAATTTAACCTTTTAAGCAACAATCTACGTGAATACTTTTTTTTTTTTTTTTTTTTTTTTTTT